CAAAGCACAGGGACCACGGTTCAATCCCCCAGCACCACATGCCAGCCAGCCTGCCCCCTGGTGGACTGAGCTGGACACACACACACATAAATAAAATTAAAAAAAAATATATTTTGGGGGCTGGGAAGAAAGCTTAGTAGAGTAAGCGCTTGCCTGCCTCCCGAGTTCAATCCCTGGTATCGCAAAAAACAAAAATAAAAACCAATTTTGAGATCAGGTTGGCTGTGCACTTCACAGCAATATTTTCAAAAATGAGCTGGGGAGATGGCTCAGTGGAATAAGCACTTCCCTAGGGCCTGAATTCAATCCCTAGTTCCACCAAAAACTAAGAGACCTTACTCTTAAGTAGTTCCAACTTCAGAATGACTTTGTATTTGGTGCTGGGTATTAATATCCAGGAATACTATGCTCTGATAATTCTCCAGCCCTTTATTCATTTTTAGATATTCTTGCTATATTATTCAGGCTGGGCTTTATATTTTTTTCTTTTCCTTTTTTTTTTTTTTTGGCAGAACCGGGGATTGAACTCAGGCCCTACTGAGCCATCTCCCCGGCCCATGGGTTTATATTTTCTTAACCTTTTTTGGATACAAGGTCTGCTATGTAGTTCAGGCTGACCTTGAACTGTGTTCTTCCTTCCTGCCTCAGGCTTTTTTTTTTTTTTTTTTTTCTTGTGGAACTGGGGATTGAACTGAGGCCCTTGCACTTGCCAGAGAAGCACTTATTCCACTGAGCCATCTCGCCAGCCCCTTGCCTCAGCCTTCTAAATGGTGGGATCACAGGCTTGTGCCATACCTGGCTAACACTCTCAGAGCAGTTTTAGTACAGAAAAAGGGGTAAGATTGACCACATTATATCCTAACCTTATCCTTTGTTACCCATATCATCTCCACCAAAGTATTCGATATACTTGTGGAATCCATGCCGAATAGTTTACCATACAAAGACCAGTATGAATTAGGATTTATTCTTGGTGTACATTCTATAGGTTTGCACAAATGAGGGATGAGTGAGTAGGTAGAGCACATTTATGGCAATGCAACTATTCTACACTTAATCGTGACTACATGCCATGTTTCAGCTTCATCCACTACGGTGTTTATAGATCAGCAGCACCTTACTTGTAGAACAGGAGGTATAGGTGGGTGTGGTGCACACCTTTGTAATCCCAGCTACCTCGTTAGGGGTATCCCAAGCCCTGGGCCAGCCTGGACAATTTATCAAGGCCCTAAAACGGGGTGAGGATCCTGCAGGAATGCAGATCAGTGCTTCTCTGGCTCTCCCCAGCATTACCAAAACAAGGCCAACCTCTTAACAACCACCCATACTATTAGCCTGGCCTTGAACACTAGCATTACCACCACATTCCTCCTGGCTTCCAGTAAATACATGTAATATGTTTCTACTTTAAAAATCAAATGACCTAAGTGCCTGCTGATCCCTGGCGCCCTGAGCTGGCCACAGAGACCAGGTGTGGTGACACATGCTTGTAATCCCAGCACCGGGGAGGCTGAAAACATCAGAGTCCAAGCTGTGCAATGAGACCCTGTACCAAATACATAAAAAATCAAATCAAATCAAATGACCAAGAATTTCAGGTAATTTACTGCCATTTTCAGGGAATCCAGCATTTGTATCACTCTCAACAATACCTCCATCATATAACAGCAACATACAAAGGCACATTATGAGCAAATTGAATTTTATTTTAACACCATGTCATCTTCAACATGTTTAAAAACCTTGAAAATCAGCGGGAGCCCTAGTTCCCTGGGACAGCATGCCAGAGGTACTGAAATGTGTCATCTTTCCCTGCAAACCCCCAGCCATTCTTCCAATCCAAGTCCACGTCTTCAGAAAATTAGTTCTCTCTTCAAGTCAGTCTACTCCTCAGGTTCCTGGTTTTGCTTTCAAGGAAGGACATCAAAATATCTCAAACAGGGAACAAAAATCAGTTGAACTTCCATTTATAGCTTT